GCATAAAAATGTGGAGAGGGTAATGTAATAACTCCCACTATCCATCCCCGAGCTTTAAAAAGTATCAATTTATACCTAAACAGTTTTCTTCTGTTCCCCTGATTTTTTGGGAGGCAAATCCTAGTTATGCCATTTCTTCTGTAATTATTTCGTTACATATTTCTAAAATGTAAGAACTTTAAAATTCACTGGTTTTTTTTTTAAACCATATATTTTTACGTTGATATTTAGAGAGAGGAAGGACGAGGGAGAAAAAGAAACATCGAAGTGAGAGAAAAACATCTGTTGGCACACCCTCCCCGCCCCCGCCCCATGTGGACAGAAAGCCTGGTATGTGGCCTGACCCGGGATCAAGCCCGCCACCTTCTGGTGCGCGGGATGACGCCCCAACCAGCCGAGCCACACCAGCCAGGGCATCGCTGATTTAGAGAGAGGAGGAGATGGGAGCGAGAGAAAGAAAGAAACGTTGATTTGTTGTACCGCTTACTTATGCACTTATTGGTTGAGGATCAGACTCGAAACCTTGGCACATCAGGACAACACTCTGACCAACTGAGCTACATGGCCAGGACCATCATTGATCTTTTATTTGTTTTTATTTCAGAGAGGGAGAGAGAGAGAGAAAGTAACATCAACAATGAGAGAGAATTACCGATTGGCTGCCTCCTGCACCCCTCGTACTGGGAATTGAGCCTACAACTCAGGCATGGGCCCTTGACAGGGATCGCACCCAGGCCCCTTCAGCAAATAGGCTCTATCCCCTGAGCAAAACCAGCCAGGGTGCCATCGCTGTGATTTTTAAAAAATTAACAATATTATCAAATATCTAGTCAGCGTCCAATATGCCACAGAGTCACTTTTGATCTGACTGGAAATGTTCTGGAAAACGGAGGTGGGTTGTTTAGAGCTCAACTCACTTGCCAGGCCCACTGTTCACCATGTCGTATGAACTCTGAATATTTTAAGTTCCTCCTCAAGCCTGACACAACTATATTTTGGCAAAGGCCTGTGTCCTTAATGCCATCAAAAAGGCAGCGGAACCCTAGCCGGTTTGGCCCAGTGGATAGAGCCTTGGCCTGCAGACTGGAGGGTCCTGGGTTCGAGTCCGGTCAAAGGCACATGCCTGGGTTTCGGGCTCCATCCCCAGTAGGGGGTGTACAGGAGGCAGCAATCAATGATTCTCTCATTACTGATGTTTCTATCTTTCTCCTTCCCTCTCTGAAGTCAGTAAAAAAACAAAAAACACACACATCACAAACATTTTTTAAAAAGGCAGTGGCGTGGACAGTGCAAAGAGCCTGGAAAGAGACAAGCTTTGGGCTCAAATCCCTGGCTGTGGCTCTTGGGAGCTGTGTGACTTGGCAAAGATACTCGGCCCCCAGTCTCAGGACCCCGTGTGCAAAACGGACCCGGGAATGAGGGGTTCACAGGAGGTGCTCAGTCTGGGTGTTAGGCTCGCCCACTTTGACCCATTTTTCTTCCCATTCAGTCTGTCAGGAACACTTTACTGAAAAGGTGAGGAGGACAGGAGCTTCCTGCCCAGGGAGAACTGCCAGCCACACTTGCGGGTGCCCAGCTCCTGCACTTCCTGCGTCTCTCACTAACTCCCCTTGCTGGGCATGGGTGCGCTCTGCTCTGGTCGCTCCTGGAGCCTCGTGGGCTTGAGCAGAATGGTTCCTTGGTTCCCGTGGCCCTCGTCCCCCCTGCTTGTCTCTTGCTGTAGAGCGGTGGGTCCCTCAGGCTGCTCCGTGTCTGGGGAGCAGCCCCAGGGCCCAGGAACTGCCCTGCAGGTCAGGGCAGGCTCAGAGGTCAGGAGATACAGACGGCTGGCACCAGGGAAGTAATTACGCTGGTGCATCTCCTTTGCTTTGCCTGGGGCTAGTGGCTTCCTTCTTTCACTCAGCAGGTCTATCAGGGGGTGGGTGAGTGGGGGGTGGTGGTTTCTCAGTGGTAGTTCCCTTGCCTTTTCCGAGCAGCAGATGTTGGGTTCAGGCTGGGCTCTGGAGCAAAGGCACCCACTGCTCAGCTCCAGTGGATCCCCTCGGGCGCTGGAGCACCCTCACAGGGAGGCGGGACCCTAGGCTGTGTTATTTCCCCACCGGAGCAGAAGACTTAACCAGACTGTCACTCTGAGCTGCTCACTGTCAGCCCTGCCTTCCTGCTCTTCCCATGCTCCTTACCCGGACACCTGAGGCTCCTGGGGCCGGGGACAGGGATTGAGCACCGTGGCCTGGTAGGCATCCTGCTTTCAGTCCTCCAAAAGCCCTATCTGTCCATCTTCTGCCGGAGGAAACTGAGGTACCGAGCAGTCAGGGCTCTCTCAGCTTCCACCGGGACCCCCCCAACCCTCAGCACACCGCCCTTGCCCGGCTGTGGCTGTAAATCTTTGCAGGTGGAATGGGTTACCCAGAGGCTCAAGGGAGAGTCCAGTTCTCGTCGCCCCAAGTGCTTTGGGCCGGAAAGAAACTAGGTGGCGCCATACTTTATAGGAACGAGGCCAAGGATTTAAAGACAAAGGCTCCTCCTGTCGGGGTTGGGACTTGACTGACAGGCAGGTCGGAGGCCTGCAGGGGCCTGGCGTTGGGCTCCTAGTACTGGGTGTGTGCCCCGAGGGGGGTCGAGGGGCCGGCCGGGCTCAGGATGTCTTTTCCTCCATTGGCTGGATGGCCCTGCCCCCCTCCTCCCCTTCTCCTGGAACATTCCACACATTCCAGACTGCCATTGCTTTCAGGATATGGATTAACATCCCAAGCAGATATTTGGTTTCACCACCGCCACCCCTCTCCAAGCCTTCCCCGTCCTGAAGAGAAAGCCCCCAAAACGAGAAGTTTGAAGTAGGAGGGGGGTATGTTTGACCTTTGACCTGAGAGGCCATTTGAAAGCTATTCAGACTGGACTACCTCACTGGGGTTGCTTTAAGCTAGTGTTTTTCAACCTTTTTTGGGCAAAGGCACACTTGTTTCATGAAAAAAATCACGAGGCACACCACCATTAGAAAATGTTAAAAAATTTAACTCTGTGCCTATGTTGACTATATATAAAGTAATTCTCTTGAATAGGAATCAAATAAACACAAAGAAAGTATTTTAGAATTACTTTATTATGAAATATTAAGTAAACAAAATAGTGAAAAATTATAAAATTCTTGTCTTGTCTGCACCTACGGCACACCAGGCAACATCTCGTGGCACACTAGTGTGCCGCGGAACAGCCGTTGAAAAACGCTGCTTTAGGCAGACAGCGGCCACCCCCCAGCCCACTGCCTTCTTCCAGAGAGTTCCCCCGAGCTTGGTCCTGGGCGTGGGGACATGGCTGTGCGCCCCATCAGTGTTCTCAGTCTCCCGCGGGGCAATGCTTTCCTCCTCAATTCTCCAACAGTTTGACCTCCATTGGAAGGGGTCCTTTCTCTGACCATTGGCCACCAAATGAGTCTGTCCGTCATGGCCAGCGTGTTATCACAAGAGGGTGGAACTGAGGGCCTGGAACTGGACTTGTGTCTGATCTTTACTCTTTTGTCCTGCTCTGTAGTCTGACCTCCGTAGATCAGACTCACGTACCACCCAAAGCAGACCGCCATGGGCACAGATTCTCTTCGCTCACCCTCATCTCTCCCTCTGTTACTCCATCCCCAGGAGAGCTGTCCTTAACCACGTCATCCCTGGCTGTCCGCTCTCAGCCCGAAGCTGGAAGAGCCTTGGAGACCCTTTGGTCCCCATTTCACAGCAGAAGTCACTTAGGGTCCTTCCGGGCAGAAGCAAGTGAGCTGGCCCAGGGGCGAGCCCCGTTGGAAGCAGCTGTAGTTAGAGCTTAGCATCCCTTCCTTCCTTCCCTCCCTCGGTGGCACGTGTCCCAGCACTCCTTTCTCCTGGTTTGCCAGAAGCCCATGTGATCCCCATTGCTTGGGGATACTGAGGCCTGAAGCTTCAGTGGCTCAGTCAGACCTACACCCAGTCCGGGGCAGTCTGAGGGCTAGAACTGGACTTTCTTGCTCCCTAGACCAGTTTTTCCTCATACCACGAGGATTTTATTGGACTGTGTCCCTGAACTAAGATTTTGTGACCAAGGATAAGCAAAGACTGTGATGACAATTGACCAATGCAGACAAAGTCAATGAAAAGGTTTTAGCCTGAGGATTAGGGCATCGATTTGGGTGGTAACCAGTTTCCCTGGGAGCCAGCCTTGAACCTGAAAGCCTTCCTCAGGGAGAATTACCTTGTTAAGGGGCGTTTGAAAGATGGTGTAGTTACCTGGGGAGAGGGAGGGAGGGAAGGTGGTGGTCAGAATGCTGGGTTATGTGTGTGTTAATCACTCACTCCCACTTCAGTATTCACAAATGCGTCCGTTATTATACTTTGCGAACTTACTCTAAGCCCTTTGCTAAGCTCTTCATAATATTGTCTAACATTACCGTGTATACCACCCCTTGAATAGGTATTATCCCTGTTTTACAAAGGAGGAAACAGCCCCAAAGGAGTTAAATAATCTTTTAAAGATCAGTGCTAGGAAGTGGAGCCGGGGTTTACATTTATAGCTGCACAAAGCACTTACCTTCTGCGCTGATACTGTTTGTTTGCATATATGTGTCCCCTAATAAACGGTGAACACCGCGAGGCCAGGCACTTTGCCTATTTTGTGTAAACAGGTACCAGATTAATGAGTAATGTCTTAGGTGGCTTTATATTTCTGAAATGTAGGGGGGTTGTGAGTGGTTACTCCGGTTTCTCACTGGAGAGAGTCAAAGCAGATGTGATTTTTCGGGAATGATGTTACCCTAGTCATGCTCAGGGGCACCTGATTGTGATCTTCCTGTCTGGCAGCAGTGGTAACAGTTATCTCCGCACCAAATCTCTCTCCCCAAAGCGTCCTGTCCTTAGACGCTAAGACTGTGGTGTTGAGTAGAAGGTGGGGCGATGGCCTGGCACAGGGGTTCAGAACAGCAGAGTCACACCGTCCCCGGAAGCATTCCAAACTGTCACTCATCCTGTCCCCTCTGATTTCAGGAGCCGGAAAATTCAGATCCGAAATATTCCACCCCAGCTGCGATGGGAAGTAAGTGATGGGGACGCTCTCGGCGGCGACGGCGGCATGGGGTAGTGGAGACCGGAACGAAGCCCGGGGCAGCCTGAGTTTGGCAGAGAAAGTCCGGCTGGGGAGGTCCTTTGGTGGTGTGGCTGGTGCTAGGCCAGGGATGCTGAGTGGAGGTTGGCTGGGTCTCGTCCTTAACTTACGACGACAAATGTTAATCCCTGGAACTTCAGTCCCCTCTAGTGAAGGAGGTGGAAGGGTGTTCCCTGAGCCTCAAACTTAGTTTTGGCAGAGGGTGATTTTGGGCCCCAGGTGGCCCCGGTCTCCTTCTAAAGAGGCCCTAGGTTCCTCTTTGAGCTTCAAAGAAACTCAAAGAAGCCCTAACAGGTCACCCCCAGCATCAGTACCCCCAGAAAGGGCACCCTGAACAGGCAATGATGCTCAGTCCCCACCAAGGCTCAGCCTGCGCCCCATCTGTGCTTTCGGATGTGGGGTGCCTAGTGGCGGGCCTTAGGCTAGTTCCTGGGATGCTCAGAGTAGCCTTCCTCCCTTCTCCTCCTAGGTGCTGGACAGCCTGCTTGCTCAGTACGGAACGGTAGAGAACTGTGAACAAGGTAAGAGTGGGCAGAGGTGCTGGGTGCTGGGTGCTGGAGGACTTTGAGGGGTCTGCTTCCCCTCACTTTCCGTGGGCAGACCTATGGCCAAAGAGGACAGTGTGGTGCAGACACACTGATTGGACTGAGGATCCGGACGTGTGGCTCGTACCTTACAGGCTCCTCCTCTGTTCTTTGAGACTTGAACAAAGTCGCTCATTCTTGACATTGGGTCCCAGGCTGCCAGGGGTCAACCAAGGCAGAACTAAGATGTTAGAAATAACCCTGGCCTGTGTGGCTCAGTGGATTGAGCATCTTCCCACACAGGAAGAGGTCGCTGGTTCCATTCTTGGTCAGGGTGTGCTCGCTCCCCTTGTATGTGGCTTGTAGGAGGCAGCCAATCGATGTTTCTCTCCTCCTCCTCTAAAAATCAATAAAAGCCTATTTAAAAAATTTTTTTTTTCAGAAATAGTTTAAGAATGGAAATTGAGTGTTTATTATGGATAAATCTGCAGCTCTTTTACTTTAAAAGCATCTCAAGCCGAAACCGGTTTGGCTCAGTGGTAGAGCGTCGGTCTGCAGACTGAAAGGTCCCAGGTTCGATTCTGGTCAGGGGCATGTATATTGGTTGCGGGCACGTCCCCGGTAGGGGGTGAGCAGGAGACAGCTGGTCGATGTTTCTAGCTCTCTATCGCTCTCCCTTCCTCTCTGTAAAAAATCAATAAAATATATTTAAAAATAAATAAATAAATAAAAGCATCTCAATTCCCTCTTTTCAGCTGGAATAACCAACGGGCTGTCTCTTTTTTTTGTTAGAATCTCTGATGTCAGTGACATCGTTTTTGGTCATTGGGGGGAAGAAAGGGCAGAGGATTTATTACTTTTAAAGGAATGTTTGTTCACTTTTAGAGAGAAAGAAGGGGGGAGAAAGAGGGAGACAGCGATGTGAGAGAAACATCGATTGGCTACCTCCCGCCTGCCCTCTACTGGGGATTGAGCCCAAAATCCAGGCATGTGCCCTGACCGGGAATCAAACCGCGACCTCTTGTTTCTGGGCCGATGCTCATCCACACCAGCCGGGCTGGGAGGTTGGTTATTCTTGCAGGCGCCTCCTCACCGCCCAGGTGGGGGACGCTGCTGCTGCAGGCCGGAAGGGCCAGAGTGCTCTGCGTGAGGTCTGGTGGCCACTGCGTGTGGTCCGTGCCCTCCACCGTGGGGCGGAGCAGGCCAGGGGACCCAGATCACAGGACAAGGGTGCATATGCCAGAAGGTTAGTTTTATTAATTTAAAAAGAGAAGTATGTGCCCAGACTGCCTGAGCGTCTAATGGTCGAGCCATTTCCCTCCCCGGGGAAAGAATGTGTATGGCAATCAAATGGAAACCAGAGGGCTGCTTAGGAAGAGGTTGGGGGGATTAACGGCTGGTGTCCTGAGTTTGTGATGCCCTGAATGCGTGCATTTCCACACATTCAGGTGTTCGGAGGAGTCAGGAAATCCTCTCCTCTGGGAAAGATGCAGACACACCAATTCCTCACTCCCTCCACCACAGCAGCCACTCCTGTCAACCCAGTGGCTAGCTCCTACTGCACATGCATTTGGTGTCTTCCTGAGGATACTTTGTCCTCTAAGATGGGTTTGGGTGTTCCCCCAAATCCCTCCAGCCATATCCTTAAAGCTCGGGATGTTAACTTCTGTAACTTGCTAACCTCGGTGTGTGTTGATTGTTAACTAGTTTAACTTCCCAAGGGCAAGTGCATCTCGCAGGCTGTTGTGTGTGCGTCAGACCTTCTGCCTAACGGCTTATGTATGGACTACAGTGCAGCCCAGCTCTCTTGGGGGTCTGGGAAGGGAAGTCAAAGGGAGATGTAGAAAGGAAAAGGCAAGGATGTAAATTTTAAGTGTTCTAGGGGTTCTGGTAAACGGCGCCTGAAGAGGCACCGCTTTGCCTTGCTGTTCAGGTGTTTCATAAGCTCAAGCTCCAGAGGTTCTGCCACACGCCTTTACCTCATGGTGTGTAAGGATGAGCCTTTCACACACACGACTCATCCGTGGCTTCTCCAGAGTCCACCGCCCTAACCCTGGCCTGTTTTCCTTCCCTCCCGCCAGTGAACACGGAAAGTGAGACGGCCGTGGTGAACGTCACCTATTCCAACCGGGAACAGACCAGGCAGTGAGTGGGCCGGAGAGGGGGGCTGGCTGGGCGGGTCTTGGTGGGGTGTTGCTGGGTAGTTGGTTCAGGAATCTCAAAGGTTCAGTAACTCAATAGGAGTGATGGCAAATAGATTGAAAGGGAGGGGAGGGGACCAAAGTACTCCCAGGGAAGATGGGAAATCTGTAGGGGAAAAGGTTGGCATCTGAGAGATCTCTAGTTGCCCAAGAACGGCAGGGCTTTGCTGTGTTGGTGGCGCCATCTAGCGATAGTGAGGAGGAACGGCTGTGTTGAAAGAAAAAGGACTTGTTAATGGTAAGATGTGGTGGGACAGACATTTTATTGCTGTGATTACCATGGGCCCAGTGTATGCTTGCTAGGGTCCTTCAGTCCTCTTACATACACACAGTCCCGCTCCTTCTCCCTTAGCTTGAGTAATGAACACTGCTCACTCCCACTGGTACCGACCAACTGTACACATTACCCACCTACCCATTTATAACTAGAGGCCCGATGCACGGAATTCGTGCAAGGGGCTCGGCCCTCACAACCCTCGCTGCCCCCACTGTGTCCACCCCCACTTTGTCCGGAAGGTCGTCTGGCTCTCCAGTCTAAACAGCACACGACACTTTCATTATTATTATAGGTGGGTCTTGTCAATACCTGGCTTTTGGCCACATTTTGCTGTCGATGGCTCTCTTGCTGCTTCATCACGGCGCCTCTATCCTTTCTGTTTCCTCCAACTTAGGAGGCTGCACTGTAAACTCCCTGCTGTCAGATCTCATTATCCTGGAGTCTCCTGGGCTCACAGTTTTCCGGAGGCTCCTGCTGCCCCTTGGGGCCAGCCTGTGATGTTTAGCCCGGCTTTCCAGATCGGGCAGCTCCTGCTCACTGCCCACTACCTGCTGCCGCCCTGTTTACATTTCTAACCGGCGACAGGTTTGGGACTGGAGCGGGGCTTGCCCCTCCCCCCAGTGCCATCCCTCCGGTTAGCAGACATTCCAGATACACTTCCACTCCTGCTCCCAGGTGGTGCTGAGCAGGCCATTCTGTCCCCAAGTCTCTAACTTTTTTTCACATTGAGTTTCCTTAAACTTAGAAGGTGCCAGGCGCACTAGGGATAAAAAACAAGTCTTGCGAATTATCACCTTTATTTGTTGTATTTACTCATTTATCACGAACCGCATGCGATTCTTACGTGACGCATAATAGGTAGTTTTGGCCGAAATTGACGAGCCAGCCCCAACGTTAATTGGAAATAACTAACTTAGGTTTCCCTTTGATGACTTTGGCCGTGTAGACTGGAAGGGTCCCTGAGGAGGCGGTGGGAGTGGTGGGCAGGTGCTCATATCCCCTTCTCCAGTGCCTCGCCCATGGAGGGCATTCGGTGGGATCGGCATGGGTTGGGGTAACCAGTAGCTTCTCTGCCCCCAGAGCCATCATGAAGCTGAATGGCCACCAGCTGGAGAACCATGCCTTGAAGGTCTCCTACATCCCTGACGACCAGATAGCACAGGGTCCTGAGAACGGGCGCCGCGGGGGCTTCGGCTCTCGGGGTCAGCCCCGACAGGGCTCGCCCGTGGCGGCCGGGGCCCCCGCCAAGCAGCAGCAGGTGGACATCCCCCTGCGGCTCCTGGTGCCCACCCAGTATGTGGGCGCCATCATTGGCAAGGAGGGCGCCACCATCCGAAACATCACAAAACAGACCCAGTCCAAGTGAGTCTTGGCTGCAGGGGGGGATGGAGATGGGGGCCAGGAAGTGGGGGTTCGGAGCTGGGAGCTGGGAGGTGGGTGCCTCCGGGAAGCACACTGAATGGCGTCGGTGGGAAATGTCTGCTGGGAATGTTCATGCTTCCCCATTCAGGAGCCACTGCTTCCACCCCCAGCCTCCTCGGCACTGGTACCGACCAACTGTACACATTATTATTATAGATGGATCCTGTCAATACATGGCTTTTGGCCACCCCCAGCCTCCTCAGCTGGCGGGCAGGTGGGGAGATAGAACGGGCACGTGAGCGCCAGTGGTCGCCGTTGCTGGACCTCGTCCTGTTGTTAGTAAAAAGGGACCTAATATCTCCCATAGGAAGTCTCAGCCTGCACACATAGCCTTGGTGATCAGTCAGTTTTCAGAGCTCTGGTTTTAGCGCCACTTACTGGTGTCAACAGGACTGGCCAGCCTGCCAAAGTCTGGGCCCTCGGTCATAGGTCCTAAGTCCGTCCTGTCTCCTATTCCACCACAACCACTCTTCTCTAATCTCTACAGCTGCTCAGTGTGCTCTGGGAGAGAACAGGTCACCTGGTGTCCTTATTCATAATACAGCCTTCATTATTTACTTCTTATTTGGGACAATGTGCTTCCCCTTTATAGTTTGTCTTGGGGGGAAATCTAGAATTCACAAATTAGAATGTGGGCTATTGATCCCAACTTGGCAATCCCATGGTAGATGCCATCATTCCAACTGCCAGAGCAACAGGCTGGTCACGTGCCCCTGGCCCTCCCCCAGCCTGCCTTTGATTGGCTTTGTTCCAAGTAGAGCTGCTCCTGTGCCTTTGGTTGAGGAGAGGTTGGGGGGGGGGGGGGCGCTGGCCCACTCCCCCCAGGGCCCACTGACCAGCCACCCGTCCTTGTGGTCCTCAGGATCGATGTGCACAGGAAGGAGAACGCAGGTGCTGCTGAGAAGGCCATCAGTGTCCACTCGACCCCCGAGGGCTGTTCCTCCGCCTGTAAGATGATCTTGGAGATCATGCACAAGGAGGCCAAGGACACCAAAACGTAAGGCTCCCGCTTTCCTGCGAACGAGGAGACTGCCACCTTCCTGGGTCCAGCACACACTCTGTTAGCAGTACAGACACACAGGGGCAGTCAGAATTGTACCAGCGGTTATGAATTAAAATCTTCTTTCCCACAAGTAACTTCTCGCACACCCTCTTGAGGTTCTGTGCACTCGGAAGTGTATATGCACACAAGCACATGCGTGTGTTAGCATAAAGAGGGTCGTCATGCACATTTTAGTGCATATTTATAAAACTATTTTATACCTTTTTTCATTTTCATGCACTAAAACTAGTCCATACTGACGCAACTCATTTTTTATAGCTGCAGATATTTCTCTTTTTAAAAAATACTATAGTATGTTTTTATTAATTTTAAAGAGGAAGGGGGGGCTATAGAAACATCAATGATGAGAGAGAATCATTGATTGGCTGCCTCCTGCACATCCCCTACTGAGGACTGAGCCCACAACCTGGGCATGTGCCCTTGACCAGGATCAAACCAAGAACCCTTCAGTCCACAGGCCCAATGCTTGATCCACTGAGGCAAACCGGCTAGGGCTGGCTGCAGATATTTCTATAGTGTGGCATTTTCATTTTTTATTTTTAATTGATTTTTCAAGTGTAAGGTTGAATTTTTTTAAAAAATATTTTATTGATTTTTTTTTTTTTTTTTTTTTTTTTAACAGAGAAAGGGAGAGGGGTAAAGAGTTAGAAACATCGATGGGAGAGAAACATCAATCAGCTGCCTCCTGCACACACCCTACTGGGGATGTGCCCGCAGCCAAGGTACATGCCCTTGACCGGAATCGAACCCGGGACCTTTCAGTCCGCAGGCCGACGCTCTATTCACTGAGCCAGACGGGTTTCGGCCAGCTGAATGGTTCTTAATATGCAGAGGCCTGTGAAACCGTCCCCACACGTAAGATAATGAACGTGGCCATCAGCGGGTCGTTTCTGTGCCCCTTGCAGTCCGCCTGTACCACCCCATCTCTCGATCCTAAGCAGCCACTAATCTGGGTTCAGTGCTCTTCCAGCATGTTCTGTCCTGTGGTTTGTTCTGAGAACCTCGTTGGGGCGGCCTCATGGCCGCGTCTCCACGGGCCCCTCCCTTCTGCCCCGTCTCCCAAGGGCTGACGAGGTTCCCCTGAAGATCCTGGCCCACAATAACTTCGTGGGGCGACTCATCGGCAAGGAGGGGCGCAACCTGAAGAAGGTGGAGCAGGACACGGAGACAAAGATCACCATCTCCTCGTAAGGCTCTTTTGTTTCCTTCCCTGTGAGAGGGGGGGGGGGCGGCGGCCGTATTTCACCACTGGACCTTCATACTTCTGGCCCCGTAAGCTGGATGGGTTTCTGCTCGTTAGAGAAGACTCCGAGGCGGTGAAGAGTATTTGTTCTCTCCTGTCACACAGCTGTGTGGGCTGGGGGGCTGTTGGGGTGCCACTGCCTCCCCCTGGCAGACCTCAGGGGCTCTGCATCTCCAGGAGAGCCAGGGCTTGTGGGTCAAACATGACGGCTGGGCTGTGAGAACGGGACAGATCTGGGTCCTTCGGTGGCCTGCCTCTCCGGGTGTATTAGCTCCTATGGGCACCGAGTGCCCTGTCATTGGCGACTTGGTGGGCAGAGTTCCTCCGTGTTCTAGAAAAGGCACAGGAAGTGGGTGGCTGGGAACCCCTGGGGAAAGGCGCGTCCTTCTTGCTCCCCCCATAATGGCAACCCGTAGAGGGGTTTCGGTTGGGTGGTCTCGTCCCCCTGCCCTGGTTACACAGCGAAGGCAGAGACAGAGCCGTGTGTTCGGCGAAGGTTGACCAGCCGGCAGAAATGGGGCGGCCCCTGAGCGGAAGGGGACGCCGCTCTGACCTCCCCGCAGGCTGCAGGACCTCACTCTCTACAACCCCGAGAGGACCATCACCGTGAAGGGCGCCATCGAGAACTGCTGCCGGGCCGAGCAGGAGATCATGAAGAAGGTCCGGGAGGCCTACGAGAACGACGTGGCCGCCATGAGCGTGAGTGCCGGGCGCCTGCCAGCCTCGCCGGGCCCGAGCTGCAGAGCGGGCTTCCTCCCGGGGCGGGCGTGCCCAGTGCGGTGTGGCCTTCGGGGCCTTTGAGTTGAATTAACAGGGGTTTTATAATCCTATGCAAAACATGTGTTTGTGTAGACTTCAGCGGGTAGAGGGTCTTCACTTACTTCTGATTTTCGGGGGGTGGTGGGGGGGTGAGGGGGCAAGGATGTGGGAAGGTGATAGAAAAGGTGACTCCCGGAAGTCCAACGGAGATCGGTCCCTGCCTGGGTGCACGTCGGTGTGTGCAGCACAGGGCTGTGAGTCCGTCACCTGCTCAGGGCGGGGTGAGCCAGAGAGGACGGGCTTCTGACGGAATAACATTGGTTGGAGTGGCTTGCTCTCAGTCAGTAACTCCACCAGGACACACGGGAGCACGTGTGAGAACTAAAAGGGCAGGTGGTGTTTGGGTAAAAGCGTGTCTCTGTCTCAGGGTACTCCTCCTCCCAGCCCAGCCAGGGCCCCAGAGGAGCGCCCACCGGGCCCCGTCAGCCTGAGCTGACCTTCCCCTCCTCCCCTCTCCCCGCAGCTGCAGTCTCATCTCATCCCCGGCCTGAACCTGGCCGCCGTGGGTCTCTTCCCAGCCTCGTCCAGTGCAGTCCCGCCGCCTCCCAGCAGTGTGACGGGAGCTGCCCCCTACAGCTCCTTTATGGTAAGTGCAAAGCCTCTTGCAGAACCCCGGGCCCGGCCACGCCCCACGCCTTGTCCCTGTGGGAGTTCCTTTAACGGCCACTCCTGTGGGAGCCGGGGCCTTGCGGGATTGTAGGAGGTGGGAGGTCTGAGGTTGCTTCTCCGTCGTTCCCAGCCCCTGGCGACAGGTCAGAACCTTGACTCCGTGGAGGGCCATCTCAGATGCTGCCAGGGGATGCTGACAGCACTCTTCCTCCCTCCTCCTCTTCCTCCAGCTTCTTCCCTTGATTCCTGCTGGGCTTGGGGAGGGCCAGGGAGGGTGCTGCCCAGGTTGGCTGGGTGCCTGCACCCCTTTCTCCCTGAGGAGACACGCAGGGGTGTGGAGGGGCTTCTGGGCGGTGGCTCTGGGCCTGCGGTGGTGACACGCCCTGTCTCGGCAGCAGGCTCCCGAGCAGGAGATGGTGCAGGTCTTCATTCCCGCCCAGGCGGTGGGCGCCATCATCGGCAAGAAGGGCCAGCACATCAAACAGCTCTCCCGGTTCGCCAGCGCCTCCATCAAGGTGATCTGCCCCGGGTCCCCGGGGGGGACTGCTCTCCTCCATCGCCCCCTTGCCTTTGTTCCCAGGCGCCCCCGTCTGGCCGGTGTGGGGGCCTTTTCCCCGAGGCTTCTGGCCTTGCTGAGTTCTCCGCAGAAATCCTCCAATTTCCAGGCGAGGGAGGAGGCGGTGTGGCAGCCTAGAGGAGGAGGTTGGTTAGGCTCTGCCACAGACCGACGTGGGTTCACGTTCCCATTCCGAGGCTGTGCGACCGGAGGCGCCGTGTCCTCACCAAAGAGCAGTGCTGTCGGAGCCCAGTCAGTGCCCGGTGGCAGCGGGTGCTCAGAAAACGTTAGCTGTCTCTCTGCCTTCCCCGGCGGTCCCGGGGAGAGGGAGCCTGACCCAGGGACACAGGGCCTTGTTGCATTGCACGCGTCTAAATCCCTTGGTTTTGGGGATCTTAATTTTTTTTTTTTAATGTATTTTATTGATTTTGTACAGGAAGGGAGAGAGATAGAGAGTTAGAAACATCGATGAGAGAGAGTCATCAATCAGCTGCCTCTTGCACACCCCGCACTGGGGATGTGCCCGCAACCAAGGTACATGCCCTTGACCGGAATCGAACCCGGGACCCGTCAGTCCCCAAGCCGACGCTCTATCCATTGAGCCAAACAGGTTTCGACTGGTTTTGGGGATCTTAAAAGTTTTGGTGAAAAGCAGTGATTGTTCTCTGAGGAAGTGCGGTCACTGCCCTCCCTCTTGGTCATCTCATCATCACCCCTTTCCCCCCAAAAAACGCTGGAACCTCCCAGGAGATGGGGTGGTGGGAGGAGTGTGGGGACCCTGCCTTGATAGCGGCCCTGAAGCAAGCTCGTCCATGCCTTTGAAACCGTCCTGGTGTAAGGGCGGTGACTGTGAGACGTGGAATCTTTTTTTCTCCCCGTGTTCTCAGAAGTGGATAGTGGGAGGAGGGGGACTGGCACAGTGGAGACGGAGGGCTCCTCTTTTTTTTATTTTTAATTAAAACGTATTTTAAAATTGTTTTTTAGAGAGAGAAACATTGATTGGTCGTTCCACTCATTTATGCAATCGCTAGAGGCCCGGTGTGTGAATTCGTGCATCAGTGGGATCCCTCCGTCTGGCCTGCAGAACTGAACCCAGACTGGCTCTCTGACATCCCCTGAGGAGTCCCGGATTGTGAGAGGGTGCAGGCCAGGCCAAGGGACCCCACTGATGCACGATCGATCGGGGCTGAGGAGGGATGTGAGAGGTTGGCCAGCCAGGGAGGGACTGCAAGAGGGCTCCAGGGCATGTCCAGCCAGTCTTCGCTCAGTCCTGTTGGCCCGACCCCAGCAGCAAAGTAACCTACTGATCAGAGCGACTGCCCCCTGGTGGTCAGTGCACATCATAGCGGCCTTGAGTGGCCTTAGCATACATTAGCATGTTGTGCTTTTATTACATAGGATGGGTTGCTGCTTGTATGTGCCCTGACCACAATCCTTGGTGTGTGGGGACGATGCTCCAACCAGCTGAGCAGCCGGCCAGGGCGAGGGCGCCTCTTGACCAGCTGTTTGCTTTGCAGATTGCTCCTCCCGAAACTCCTGACTCCAAAGTTCGTATGGTCATCATCACTGGACCCCCAGAGGCCCAATTCAAGGTTCTGATCTTTATTGTTTTCCTAAGCTGGACCCACTGGAACTGACTGGGGCGGGGGCGTGCACATCAGACTGGCATCGAACTTCCCTCGCTACTTCTCCACGGTCATATGGGCAAGAAGGAACCGGAGGCTTCTTCCCTGCCTCTGCCTTGGTTACTGCGGAGGGGCCTTCAGTGCCAGCTTCCCTTCTCTCCCTCACACCCCTGCTACATCCCTGGGTTTCCGAACATCTGTCAGAAGCCAAAGCTGGCTGTTAACTTGGCCTGACAGGGACGGAGCATGGGGTCAGCTCTCCAGGCTGTGGAGTGTCTGAGAGCCTGTCCCCTGAGTGACTTGATTAGCTGCTACTTGGACCTGAATTGCTAGCCACTGCTTTGTCCAAATAATGCCCTCATCCCAGACCCTCACGGGGTTTCTGGTTTCACCAAACTGAACACATTCCTTGAGGAAGAATGTATTCAGTTACTGTGCCCAGGTTCTTCAGTACAGATAAGGAGAAGGGACCCTGACAGATCAATGATGTTGCTATTTCCTGTCACCTGGCCTAGGTGGTTGATCTTTCTCTAGGTGGGGTAGGCTTGTGGGCCAGAAGAGGGTCAGGTGGAGCTTGGGAGCTGCACTTGTCTTGTCATATGTGTGTGTGTGTGTGTGTGTGTGTGTGTGTGTGTGGCCTGATGATTTAACAATGACCTCCTCTTCTCAGGCTCAGGGAAGAATCTATGGAAAACTCAAGGAGGAAAACTTCTTTGGTCCCAAGGAGGAAGTAAAGCTGGAAACCCATATCCGGGTGCCAGCGTCGGCGGCTGGCCGGGTCATTGGAAAAGGTGGCAAAACGGTGAGCCATGAGGGCCGCTTTGAAAATTCTGGGCCTCAGTCCCCAAACCCAGCAGCTCTGCTGTGGCCGCCTGCTCCGCTGCCCTGCCCATTCTCAGGATTCCCGCTTTGCCCGTTTCCCTGATTCTGCTCCCCAAGCTCAGCTTCTGACTCCCTTTCCTCCTGTTAGTTGCCAGCTTCTTGCCCTTCCCTCTGAGCCCACCATGCTTTTTTTTTTCTTTGTTGGTGAAAGTATTACCTATGTTCCCCTTTCCTCCCATTGTCCTCTCCTAGCCCACCCCTGTCTTCACCCCCTTGTTGTCTGTGCCCATTGGTTATGTTACATGCATACAAGTTCTTTGGTTGATCTCTTACCCCGACAGTCTGTTGCTATCTCTCTGTCTCTCTCTCTCTCTCTTTTTTTTTTTTTAAATAAATTTTTATTGTTCATATTATTACAAATGTTCCTCCCCCCCTCCCCCCGCCCTCCATTGCTCTCCTCCACCAGGTTCCCACCCCACCCTCTGCCCTTTCCCCAACCCCCGTTGTCCTCATCCATAGGTGCACAGTTTATGTTCAGTCTCTTCCCACATTCCCTTTTCCCCAAGAATCGTCAGTTCACATCCCTTCCATACCTCTGATTCTATTATATTCAACAGTTAATATTGTTCATCAGATTTTTAAAAAAATATATTTTATTGATTTTGTACAGAGAGGAAGGGAGAGAGATAGAGAGTTAGAAACATCGATGAGAGAGAGTCATCAATCAGCTGCCTCTTGCACACCCCCTACTGGGGATGTGCCCGCAACCAAGGTACATGCCCTTGACTGGAATCGAACCCGGGACCCTTCAGTCCCCAAGCCGACGCTCTATCCATTGAGCCAAACCGGTCCCGGCAGATTTTTTTTTTTTTTTAATTCCTTGGTTTTTAGATTCACTTGTTGATAGTTATGTATTTGTTGTTCATAATTATTTTTATCTTTATTTACTTTCTCTTCTGAAAGAACCCCCTTCAGCAATTCATATAATTCTGGTTTGGTGGTGATAAACTCCTTTAGCTTTTTTTTTTTTTATTAGTGAAGCTCTTTATCTGGCCTTCAATTCTGAGTGATAGCTTTGCTGGGTAGATTATCTTTGGCTGTAGGTTCTTACTATTCATCACCTTGAATATTTCTTGCCATTCCCTTCTGGCCTGCATGGTTTCTGTTGAGAAATCAGCTGACAATCGTATAAGTGCTCCTTTATAGGTAACTACCTGCTTTGCTCTTGCTGCTTTTAATATTCTCTCTTTGTCTTTTGCCCTTGGAATTTTAATTATGATTTGTCTTGGTGTGGTCCTCTTTGGATTCCTTTTGTTTGGAGTTCTGTGTGCTTCCTGGACTTGTAAGTCTAATTCTTTCACCAGGTGGGGGAAGTTTTCTGTCACTGTTTCTTTCAGTATGTTTTCGATATCTTGCTCTCTCTCATCTTCTGGGACCCCCATAATTCTGATGTTGGTTCGCTTGAAGTTGTCCCAGAGGTTTCTTACATTATTTTCAATTTTCTGGATTCTCTTGCCTTCTTGCTTCTGTGGAGGAGTGTATTCTGGCTCTTTATGTTCCAAATCTTTGACTTGATTCTTGCGATCTTCCATTCTGTTTTTAGGACTCTGTATAATATTTTTTATTTCAGACAATGCATTCTTTATTTATTGTTGATCCCTTATCATTTCTTGTTGATTCCTTATTAATTCTAGTTGATCCCTTTTCATATCTTCATAGGTCTTATCGACCTTTTCTAGGAAATTCTTGAGAAACCTTAAAAGCGTAGATTTAAACTCTATATCCAGTTGCTTTTTGTCCTCCATTTCTTTCGTTTGTTTGTGATCTATTTCGTTGTCTCTGCATTTTCGCAACTTCCCTGATGGGCGGGGTTTCAGGGTGGAGCCTACAGCCTTGGCTTCCGTCAGCCCCGCCCTATGTGGCTCCTGAGTCTCAGTAATCCCCAGGGTCCTTCAGTACTTGTTGCAAGCACCTGTGAGAGAAAGGTGCCCTCGATTTTCATCTGCTACCAAACAGTCTAGCCTCTCCCCCAATGAGCCGGAACTGGGGTTCAGTTCAGTTGGAAGTGGAGTTGGAGGTGGCATTCAGAGCAGTCTGGAGCCCCTGTCTCCTTCCCGCCAGGGCAATCCCGCGGCACAGCCAACCATCCCTTCTCTGCGTGTAATGTGCGCGCCTCCGGGACCTCCTTTCGCCGCTCCCCCGGGGTTCTGCCTTACAGCCCAGCTCCCTCTGTTTGAGCCTGGGTCCCCGGGGTCTGGCCTAGAACTGGGGTTCAGTGCAGTCGGAACTGTGGCCAGCACAGTCAGAGCTTTTATCTCCTTCCTGCTAGGGAACGCCAGCCAGGCACTCAGCCGCCCTCCTCTCCGGCTCTGTCCTCTCCGTGCGCACCGTGTGTCTCCGTACCTTAGGCTTTTACAGCTCCTCCGCTCTTCCTTCTGGCTTTCTTCGTGCTTCTCGTTGTAGAATTTCCAGTCAGTCGACTTTCCTGTCGTTCTGGGTAATGTCCATTTTATTGGAATATATTTTAGTTGTATTTTATTGAAATTGTTGTGTGCAGCTGCCGTTAGGTGTTTACCTGTGCGGCCATCTTGGATTCTCCTCTCTGTCTCTTGATCCATTTTTGCTCATCAGTTTATGTTGTTCATTCTGTTCCACAAATGAGTGAGGTCATGTGATACTTACCTTCCTCTGACTGGCTCATTTTGCTTAGCATAATGCTCTTCACATCGTCCATCCTTCACCCTTGGTTTCTGGGTGGCAGCTTGAGCTCTTCTCTGCCCACTTACCCCCAGGTGAACGAGTTGCAGAACTTGACAGCAGCGGAAGTGGTGGTGCCAAGAGACCAGACCCCTGATGAGAATGACCAGGTCATCGTTAAGATCATCGGGCATTTCTACGCCAGCCAGGTGTGTATGGTGGCAGGAGCCCAGGGCTCAGAGAAGCAAGACTCCAGAGGTTGGCCAGCATGAGCTGACCAGTCCCGGGACCCTGCCTGCCTCTGGGCTGGCCTGTTCTCTTCCAGGTGCATGAGTGTGATGCTACATGCTTTATTTTCTCTACGATGCCCTAGGGCCGTGGTCGGCAAACTCATTAGTCAACAGAGCCAAATATCAACCATGGAAATTTCTTTGGAGAGCCAAATTTTTTAGGCTTAAACTTCCAACGCCACTTCTTCAAAATGGACTCGCCCAGGCCGTGGTATTTTGTGGAAGAGCCACACTCAAGGGGCCAAAGAGCCGCGTGTGGCTCGCAAGCCACAGTATGCCGACCATGGCCCTAGAGAAAGCACTGACAACTCCCATGTGTTTCATATAAATATACTGTAGGCCTGGTGCATGACATTTGTGCCCGGGGGTAGGGGACCCCTCAGCCCCGTGCATCCTCTTGCAGTCCAGGACTCCTGACTGTCGGCTTAGGCCCTCTAATGCTGCTATGGAGGTGGGAGAGACTCCCACCACTGCCACTGTGCTTGCCAGCTGGAGGAGCCCACTGACCACCAGGGGTCTGCTCCTGTGTTGAGCGTCTGCCCCCTGGTGGTCAGTGTGCATCATAGCAACCAGTCATCCGGCCATTTGGTCAATTTGCAAATCAGCCTTTTACTAGATAGGATGACTTTATGTATTAACGATCTTTCCTGTTATTTAACGTTGGTTTTTCCCTAACCATTTTTTTGCCCTGGATCAAAAAGGAAATGGGTATTTTATCACCCAGCCAGTTTTGCTCATGGAAAGGAAATCTTGCTCTGCTACTTTTCTGTCAAGTGAATTGCACTCTGCAGTGGGTTTTTCTTAGGGAAGAAACTTTTAAGAAGTAAAGAGTGAAAAATACCGGTGTTTTTTGTTGGTTAATCCACCTCCAGGCGTTTCACCCCCTTCTCTGGGGATATTCACATGTGTCGTGGGGTTGTGATTGGCGACAGAGTCTCCGCGTTGATGACCCTTTTTGACCGGAACATAGTCTGGGAACTCTGTTTTGGGTTCAGTGTATACTCCCCCCGCCCTCACCCCTTTCCTTGCGGTGTTGTCTAGTAGGTGCTCGGAGCCCATTCCGAGGCAGACACACCAGGGTCACTCGACACAGTCTTCCTCATCCTTCTGAAGTCCTGTGCGTCCTGTGGTCCGGGTCCGAGTCCCTGCGACCCCCCCCTCTCTCCCCCCCCCGCGTGGGACTGTCCTCCTCCCTCGCTCCGGGAGGTGCTCACTCCCCCCTCGCCTCCCTCTCTGCAGATGGCTCAGAGGAAGATCCGGGACATCCTGGCCCAAGTGAAGCAGCTGCACCAAAAGGGACAGAGCAACCAGGCGCAGGCGCGGAGGAAGTGACCGCCCGCCCAGCACACCGCCGAGGACGGCGGCCGAGCGCGGCCCCCCAGCAGGCCTGAGAATGAGTGGGAATCAGGGGCGCGGGGGCCGGGAGGCAGATCAGGTTTGCCCACTTGTTTGAGAAAGATGTTCCGGTGAGGAACCCTGATCTCTCTGCCCCAGACGCCCAACCAATTGGCCCGACGCTGCCCGCCCCTCAGGGTGTCGCCACGGAAATTCTAGCTCAGGGTGCTTTTAAACGTGGATTGTTCTCAGTAAGCTCTCCAGGCCCCGCCGAGAGGGTGGGCCCGGTCCCAGTGGGAAGAGAAATAAAATTTCCTTCAGGTTTTTAAAACATGCAGAGGGGTGTTTTAATCAGCCTCCAGGGATGGTTTGCTTCTTGGTCCTAAAAACCCTTCTAGCCTTCTCCTGCTTGGTTTATTGGTCAAGATACTTCCATCCTCACGCCCTGACAGAGCCTCTTCCTGCATTCACACGAATGGTTTTATCTTGGCCGCTACCAGAGGGAGGTGGGGACCAGTGCATCGCCTAGCTTACCTGATGGCCTCAGAGGGAGAAGACCCGTCAGCGCCTGGGGTTTGATTCCCATCCCTCCCTCAGCCAACCAACAGGCACAGCAAGGAGCAAAGCCTGGAGCAGACCTGGGGAGACAGGCGATTGAGATGAGTAATCCACGTTTAAAAGGCGTGCCCTGGTGGCCGATCTGCCCCAGGTCGCCATCTTGGAAAATTGGCACAATGAAAAGTCCCCTCCCCTCCCCCCCCGCTGGGGCTCCCCCACCCAGGCCCCCGAACCCCGCGCCGTGTCCAGGGGCAGCGGTGGCACTGAATGCGCAACGGGATAGGGGCGACCACCGTACCGTCCCTGATTCCCATCATTCTCAGGCAGATTTTATTATATTTTTTTAAAGTCTATTTTAACGATGGGATGTGAGCACTGGGCAGGGGACGTGCTCCCCTTAAGGAAGTCTCAGTCCGGGGAGGCCCGAGTGCTCCCTCCCGCAGGGCTGGCCCGGAGGCAGGGCCGCGGGTGCTCCCCCCCACCGGCACTGCTCTCTTGGTGGAGGTGGGAGGTGGAACCCAGCCCTGAGCTCCCCCAATGACGCGAAGGTTCCTCACCCGGCATGGCTTACGAATAGTCAGCAAATCCAAGGTGACCAGACGTTGGGACCTTTTTAAGATGCCGCGGGACAGATTCTTAAAAACCGGACGTCTGGTCACGGAGAGTACCTGCTTTTGTTTTTATCCCGGAGGCCTCACTAACTGATGGCTTCCGCCTCCATGAATCATGGGCGTGATGAAAGGTTGTGCCTAAAAAAATAAAAAACAACAACAACAAAATTCAAAATACCAGCAACGTGTTCTGCACAAAAGGGGTAAAGAGACTTAATTTATTGATCTACCAGCCTCCATGAGATCCCGTGGGAAGGTCAGGCCCGAGGAGGACGGAGCCATCGGTTCCCAGAGGGCAGGCCTCCCCTGCTGATACACTCACGGGGCCGCATCCGGGCGGGGCGGGCGGCCTGTGCGGGGCCGGGTCCCCTCCCGGCGCGGCCGCCGCGGGAAGAGGCACGTGTGGGGAGTCAGTCAGGTAACGCTGTGCGCAAGTGAACTACCTCAAGGTACGGAGTTACCTCAGCGATTACTTTCCTTTTTGTTCCCCCCGCCTCTTTTTATTTTTTAGTTTTTTCTTTGCGGCTTGCTGATATTTTATATAAAAAGAAAAGCAAAGCAAAAGAGAAGCTGATAGTCTTGAATATTTTATTTTTTTAATGAAAAGAGAAAAAAAATGAGAAAGTTATGTTTCTTAATTTCTTACAACGTGAGCCAGTGCCGCCCTTGAGGAACTCTGGAACAGGCCCCGTGGGCCCCGGGAGGACACTGGGGAGGAGACGGGCTGACGGGGAAGGTTTGAGCCGGAGCCCCAGGTCAGTGAGCCTCTGACCTCTGACCTCTGACCTCGGTCTCCTGGGCACGCCTCCCTGGTGCCTCCGCTCTCCCCCTTGGGCGAAAGGGGGTCCCAGCCGGTCTTTCCCACCAGTGGTGCTGTTGAGATATTTTAAAATATTGCCTCCGTTTTATCGAGGAGAGAAGTAAAACTTAAAAAACTATATACCCTTTAAACTGTATATTTCTCTGTCTAAAATATGGGAGCCAAGATTCTATTGGTGGAAGAGACAAAGCTGCCCCTCTCACCCCCGGGTCTGCCATTGCGATGCTTTCATCTCTGTCTCGTTTCCATCCCATCTTGTCATTCTTCTTGGTCTGTTTCAGCGGCCCAAGGGGCAGGCAGGTTCTTGGATAACTGCTCCTCTCCATCCCCCCAACCTCAGGCTGACCTGATGGGGGACCCAGACTAAGGGAACTCTTGACTTGGGGGAGGGACGAGGAGGGGACATTGGAATGTGATTGGGGGCAGGCTCCTGCCTCATTCATCGTGTCTTACCGCTTTCTCACTGTGATGTTCCCTGTTCGCCCCCAGAACGGCCTGCTCTACTGAGAGGAGGAAGCTGGAACGCGTTTAGGGGAAATGTCAGGCCAGTGATAGTTAAGCTCCCCGCCCGTCCTAACCACCCTGAAGGGTCTCCAATGTCCATCTCTGGCTCTACCTGCTTCATCCCGGAGTGAAGCAGACAGCGTTCAGACATTGGCCGCTTAGCGATGTAAGGTGAATTCCCAGCAGCAAGCATGCTTAGATGCCCGGTTCAGACTGCCGTCAGAAAAATGAGTCCCCCAGCGCCCTCAGTGCGGTGGCTGCCGCTCCCTTCGCCTGCAGCCCAGGCCCTTTCCTCCCGGGAGAGGCCAGGGCGCGCCGGAGGGACTGTTGTCCAACTTGACTAGGATCAGGCACAGCTCCACTCACTGCTGACACTTGCCCAGCAGGAAAATCGTGAAGGTTACACTACCAGGAAGCAAAGGGAATGGTTTGGTATAATAGTTCAGGTTTAGCGGGATAAAGGGCTTGTCCCTGTGGGTCTGTCTCTGACCCTCAGGCCCGGTCTCGGGGCGAGGTCTCGCCCTCCTGCCCGGCACCGCCATGTCCCGTCCCTGGCGAGAGGACCAGAGAAGCGCTTGCGAGGTTTGCATGACCTGAGAAAAGCGACTTCTGTGCTCTAAGATGTGTGTGCGCGCGCGCTACGTGTGTGCTTTGAAGGAAGGACCGACCATCTCTTTAGGATCTATTTTTTAATTCTGTGGAACACGTGGAGAACCAAGGCGGTTTGGTTCACTGACTTGGAAGCTGCATCTGACAGTCACACCCCAGTGGCTTTCCTCCCCTGGAGGGTCTGGTTGCCTTTTGCTGTGAGGGCGCTGCTCTCTTCGTTAGGCCTCCCTCGCTATTGGCAGAAAGACCCCGTGTCAAGCCCAGAGGACCCTGGATGAGACACTCCCTTGGGTCCTTTGGGTCCACTTTCCTCAGTGCCAAAGACAGACAGACAGACAGACAGGCTGAAAGGCCGCTTCTGCATCCAAGCCACAGCCATCTTTGGACATGGACCTGGGCTGTCTGAGAGGAGGGCTCCGGGACACTGTGAGCTGAAGGCAGGGCCCCTCCTTTCTGAGTCTCCTGGGGGACAGGGCAGGGGGTGTGGAGGGCCTTGTCCGTGCCAAGGGGGTAGGGAGCTGAGGGAGGGGTCCGATGGCTCCCGGTTGCACTTTGGGGGTGGAGGGGGGAGCGTGGGGCGGCTCTTTGTCCCCTGCCCCCACTGCAGGGACAGCACGCGAGTTCCCTTCAGGCCTGGCAGACTGGCAGCGAGGAGGGGCCTCAGTTAGCTCTCCAGGGTGCCTTCCCCTCCTCCCACCCCAGTCGCACCCTCTGCCAAACTGGGAACCAGTGGTGCTTCGCAACTACCTCACAGAGCCCCCACCTCCTCCCATCTCCCCACCCCCAAAGTGTTCCTGGGGAGAGCCTAGTGGCTTTGACACTCAGACCAGGCAGCTGGTGGGCCTGTTTGTGGAAAACGGGCAGGAGGAGGACAGCCCAGCCTAGCCGGACAGCCATTGCAGGAAGGCGGGAGAAAGACAGGAAGCCATGCCCCTTCCAGACACTGGGTTTAGATGCAGAGCGGTTTCTGTTGTATTCAGACTGAGAGCAACGCCAGCCGAGAACCTCCCTTCCTTTCCTTTGGACGCATCAGGCTTCTCCATGGGGTGCAGGACAGGGGGCGTCCCCACCTAAGGTGCATTTGGAGGGTGAGGGCCCCAGCCCCGACCCCGACTCTGCCCTCCGCGAGGCAGAGTCTGACGGCGCCATGGGTGCCTTAGTGTGGGGAGTCCGGACTGACAAGACAGAAGGAAGACATTTTTTTTCTTAAATGAACTAGCAGAAAGCTCCCCGGAGCGTGTGTGTTGAGCAGTCACAGGTGATTCTGTGCCAGGAGTACAAACGGATTAACTACCTCAGTCCTTACAGTGAGGGTGGGGCCAGGGCAGGGGCTCCCAGCCAGGGAGGGAGCTGAGGCTTTGCCACAAACGGTTTGTCCTTGAGCAGGTCGGCCTGCCAGCACCCCCCACTCTTATCCATTGGGTTGGGAGGGCTGGCCATGAGGTCCCCCCTTCTCTGCCTCCTTTGCCCTGGGGTCCCAGGTTTCTCCCCTTTCCCTCCAGCTCCTCCCCCTCCCCTGCTATTCCTCTGTTGGACCAGAGGATGAGGAGGGGAGGGGGCTGGCTGGAGGTGAGGCCGGGGGTGTGGCCTAGAAGCCACCACTCAGCCGGAAAAGCCAGGGGGCCTGAGGGAGCCAGAGCCAAGGCCTTTTCAACAGGGTTGCTTTGAGATGCTCCACCTCCACTGCATCCGCTTCTCCGTCTCCACGGAGACGGGATGGTGGCTGTAGAAGGGAAGGAGGTGGCGCAGGATCCTTTGTCCTGAGTCTGAGGGCCAGGCCTCTGGCTGCTCGGATGTCTTTGTAGTCTGGGGAGTTCCACTGGGCCGTCCCAGCCCCTCCCCACCCTCCTAACGGATGGACCTCCTAGACACCCCGACTTCACTTTTGTTTTATCTACCTCTTAGGAAGACAATAGAGAAATTAGGTAGTGGCAACTCCACGTGCTTAGGTTAGGGGGGCGGGATCAGATTTCTTTTTCCAAAGGAAGATAAAAAATATTACCTTAAAAACACTTTCCAAAAATTTTTAAAAACCAAAAAAAAAAAAGGTAAAAAAGAAAAACAAAGAAAAAGAGGGAGACATTTTCCAGTTTCTGCTGGATTATCTTAATTCCCCAGACTTTTCTCTTTCTTTCCCCCCCATAAATAAGTTTCACTCTTTGGCGAATTTCTCCTCTCATTTAAGATGACATGCTAACTTACTCTGTAACAGGTACAGCTTTCCCATCAGGCCCCCTGGCCTGGCCCTGCCCCCACACCCATTCCTGCTTCTCACCTGTTACCCCCCCTACCCGACCCCACCCCACCAGGTGACTTCCAGTCACTCTCTGCAAGAACTGAGGCGTTGTGTGTGTTGGGGTGCTTAGGTCTTGGTTTACCATGTTCCCCTGTGGGGATTCGGGTGGCGGGCACTTGTAACACTTGTGTATGTTGTATGTAACCCACTGCAGTAGGAAGGTAAGATGAATTTCAGCAGGTAATGCGCATCATGAATAAATATCTGCCCCCGTTTGGATTCTCCTCTGTCTCCAGCATCTTGAACTTGGTCCCAGGAACCAGCATAAATCAAAAGAGCCCCTCGGCCGAGACAGAGTGAGTGGGTATGTGAGCAAGGTCTCACTCAGGACAGTGGGAAATGTATTGTTA